GTGGAATCACTATGTGAGCAATTTTGAAGTCAGGCGAAAGGTTCTCGGACAGGACAGCAAGTCAGTTCATGGGATTATGAACCCTATTCTACTGAGTTGGCTTGGAAATGTGTTGTGCATACCGACCTACCACCTACCTCGACGTGATATGCTAGGGGAAGTTGCATTGGTTTGAAAGGGGTTTCATGATGCTCATACCAAGAAGCTGGACTAGTTAATGAATTCCTTTGCTGTTGGTCTGAGCTGTGTGGGGAGATATAGTCTCTAATTGGCTGAGATCCCCGGGACGATAGAAATCAGTGGTTGTTGACTTTTGATAATATTGTTGGGAATCAGTTTCACAATGGCGCAGATATATTCACTCTTTGACGTCTTCTAAAGCTTAAATACTTGCACTAACCGTTGCTTTCAGATTGTTTATTCTTTTACACAACTTTGTCCACTATTATATCACTCGTTTTTATCCAACTATTCCTTGTATGCTATGGTGTGAAGTGTCGCAATTTGGAGTGATACACTTGTGTGCGAGGTTCTACGTTGATTCTGTCTGTCTCTTTGTCAATTGAGAGAAATATGGGATTATGGGTAAAAGAAGATATATGTAAAAATAACCTAGATGAAGGTCAGGACTGGGTGAAAGAAAATGCACAGTATCTCATAAAGTTGAATGCTAATTTGTCAGATATTTGATTATGGTTAGGGGAATTAGTTTTACTGCTCATACTGTTGATAATGTTTAATGATGTGTTGAAATTCATAATTTCTGCTGTATTTTTCTTTGAACACTTTTACGTACCTACCTACCAACTTGATTACCTGCTTTAAACCTTCCAACAGTGTAAATAGAATATTTCATATTTAAGTTTCTATTAATATGATTGGCTTGTCTAGTGTTCTTTGTTCTTTATGAATATCGTTTACTTTTGGAGAGAAAAAAGAAGATAATTGATTCATATTGATTGATTAACCGTTAAAGCAAGCTATGAGATGATTTTTATATTCTCTCTCTCTCTCCCTTCACATGCTTCAATAGCTCTCTTGGAAGCCAATTTTTAGCTTATATTGACTGTAGTTCGCTTATTTCATTCACATTAATCTTTTCGTTTTTTACTTATCATATCTTATCTTATCCACTATGTTTGTTGTAATGTTTTCTCCGATAACTATTCATCCTTGTCGATTACTGGATATTGCCTACGATCGATATTTTATTGATCCATAAACTATTAGACTATATAAACATGTATCGAAACAGTAGAGTGTAGATACTACACAGTTCATGGTTAGAAATTTCACTATGGTTTAGATCATATAACCCTGATCTGTTCCACACTGTAACTTGTATCAAGATTGCCAGCATATAAAGCTGTATATCATCAAATCAACCAATTGTTATGTAGTTTGAATCTTGTTTTAATTTCATAGGATGTGTATGAGTTCTATCTTTCTCATGAGAACTATTACTGGCAGCGACACCAGTTGTTGGAAACGACAAGAATGAGACGTATAGTATTGATAAAATATTGTACACTTTCCATTTTCATTTTCACAATGTGCTTTATCTTCTTTTCTTCATCCATCTTCATTTGCGCTTCATACGCTCATATTGTCTCTTGTGTTTCTCTTTACAGAATATTTACCCATTGTTAGTAATTGTCTATGACTTCTGCTGACCTCTCAACATATACTACGTATATCCATTCTTATCAGTAGTATCCAATACACTATGTGTAGAGAAATGTTCAGAAAACCAAGAATACTGTTGAATTTGAACGAGTTGTACAACTCTCTAATTCAATTCACTCAGTATCTGGTTATATAGTGTGTATGTAGTCGATGAAGTTTTCTTTGCACAATCCAAATAACAAAATGATACAGCATTAATCGACTGATTATTAAAGATAATTTCTGGTACAACATTAGAAAGTCTCATAATTGATAGTTATTAATGAGTGTCAAAAATCACTCTTGAATCTTCCTACCGATTGCCTCCATCCAATAAATATCTATCAAAATGGAATCGTGATACTGAGTCGCCTAGCTTGGTGGCTAAATTTCGAAAATGATCGATAAAATTCGGTCAGCATTTAAGACTAGATAACATGAAATTGGTTACTCTGTAGTGATCAATCACTGTAAGAGTCATTTCTTACTTCATCTAATGATATACCAGACCTGTGGTTTAAAAGTGGTTGCTAAAAGGATGTTGAATTAACAGAAGTCTTGTTCTATGTACAACCATTTTTATCCCCCAAATACTACTTGTACATGATGGTTTTATTAGTATGATATATTGTTTACTGAAAAAAATAGCATTTGACTTTGTAGGAGGGGGGGGGGGGAGATGACTGATTTCAGGATGGTATTCATCACCAACTGACACCAGTTGAAGAATCACTGAAAACCTGAGTGAGGGCCATAGATGCACATTTCTGAAGAGTCCTACACTAGGACGAAACAGATGTCCACTGCTCCCAAATTTTTTCAATGGTTTCCCAGATTATATTAATCCCTTTTGGATCCCACCCTGAAAATAGTGTTTCAATAAAAAAAATAAATAGATTAATCCTTCTATTTACGTCTACTAGTGAGTGAGTAAGAGGGAGTGTCTTGCACTTTATTAACCTTAGTTTTGAACACTTGTTCTGTCCAACTTTTTATATTATTTCTGCTTATCTCAGTCAATAGAGAATGTAAATTCAGTGTATTTATTTTTTCATTCAAATAATTACAGTCTACAGATAGGCGCTTACTTGAAAAATCCCTGTTTTTTGACCTTTTAATTTATATATTTTTTAAAGTTTTCGACAAAATGCACGAACGTATGGCCGATATACTCAGATACATACATAGAGATACACTAACACAAGTTGTTTGATTTCCTTTCTGTAAAACTTGACCGACTTCTATTCACTATTAATCTTAGTCAGTATTGCTTCCAGTGTCATCACATGATCATTAAACATATACACAGAAAAAGTACATTGGTGTGTATCGATACGGTTACGGCGTTTTTCGTGTAGATATTTGTCCTGATTATTTGTAGTGTTAATACCATTGCAATGCTTAATATTGTTACTTTATGCAGTTTAGATCATTTCAGGATACATTATTATCTACTTGAGCCTACACTTATCTATCGTGAAGTAATGCATTGTGTTCAACCTAGTTACGCATTTCCTTATATGTACCGGGCGACGAATGAAAGGCGAAGTCTCATTGCTGCTAGCCGGATGGGATGTGACAATAGTAGAGTGTTTCCTTGGATGAACAGTAGTGCTACTCTGATGCTGCCTTCCTCATGGGAAGTAGGGGTTAGAGAAAGTCAGTCCCCAAAATTGCACACTCCTCACTGCCCCCACAGTCTTCCGATGCCTGTGGTACGGGTTTTCTCGCTCCGTCGTTAGAACAACCAGACCTGAAAACAGTAACCCACAAAAGGCTGTGTGTGATAGGAGAGGCCTAAGCAGATGTCCCATGAGCTATGTGGTGATACAAACCTTTTTCAAGTACCCATCATAGAACTACGTGATCACAGGCTGTACCAGCTGTTTTATGCAACCTTTTATCATTTTTTCGATGGCTAATCTTTGTACTAACGCAGTGCGCTATTCTGTGAGTTTTTTTTTTTACTTCACGCGTACGATAGTTGATGAAGTATGTATGCCTGTGTATGCGTCATGCTTTTTAGTGCTAACATGTGAATATATCGAATTTTGCATTCAATGCAAATCTAGCGGTTCCATTCTTATTATACGTATCTACAATGACTTTATCAGAGATCTTACTTTTATTGAAGGTAATATGTGACTGTTATTGTTATTATTAGTAATATGATTAGCGCAATCTGCCACATAACTAAAAGAGATTCATTCCTTTTTGAATTTGGAATGAAACTGATCCTGTTAGGTAGCAGAATGAAATTTAACTATTCTATAGTCTACTTGGTGGCTAGTAGTATAGAATCCAGGTTACGCGTTTCGTCCTATTCGGGACTCGCCAACCGGATGCGCCTGAACCTCATTGATTGATGTTGTCACCACTGGAATCGGAATCTAGTAACCATCGCTTAAAACATCATAGCGTTGCCCACTAGATTGTGAGACTCGCCACTGGTGGAATGGGTATCAGTTGTCGTTTGTGAATTCTTTTAATTTCCCGTTGCTACACTGGATCGAATTCCTTGATCTTTTTTGATATATAGGCTTCTATGCGTATGCTTCAATACTGCCTGAATGTTCGTTGTATTGTAGTTTGCTTTGTGATTAACAGTGCAATCCAAGAGGGCTTGTCAGTAGTTGTTTTGCTTCTCCTTTATTAGCAACATATGAGATTGAAATAACTTTTTGTTCTGATTTTGTAACTGTTAGGCTGAAATATCCGACTGAAGGTGTCAAATAACTTGTAGCATTAGACAATTATTTGTGATCATGAAATCACTACTATACGATATAGATTTTGTTCGTCAATTGTCAAGGTTCTGTATATTTGGTTACTAAATTTTCCATATAAGAGATTACAATAGCCAAAAACTTCTCATTTATCAATCAATATCATTTCCATTACATAGTTATTTGCTAAGACAACTAAAAAATTACCATAATTGACATTCAGGCAATATCGAGACATCCACATAGAGGAGCCCATATACCAATAGAGGTGGAACAATTCGATCCAATGAAACGACGGAGAATTACATGTATGCCAACAATTAGTAATAATTGTTCTTTTTCTGAATGTGTATGTATGTTTAAATACCAGTTGAGTACCGGCAAAAAGGTGAAGTGTTTTGTATATACCTTAGACTTTTCTGCTCAACAACTATTGTGGAGTATTTTGTGGTATCAGTTTAGAAGTATGGGAAGATTCCTTGAATATGTGTCAGTTTTCTGTTCTGTTCATGTTTTTCACGAATTATTAATGATATTATTCGAAGAAGTGTAACTATCTCTTGACATAATGTTTTTGCTTAATTATATATTATTTCTATTCTCTCCTAGTCTACCCACCAATGACAATTGTAGCCATCATGTTGACCATCATGACTGTGGTTGTACTCAACATCATGTTAACTCGTTGGAGACAACACCAACAGCCAGCACGCCTTTACTTCCTTCAACAATAAAAACAACGACAGAATCACTTCAAGGTAATCATTCACCATCACCTATCTCTTGTATCACTCCTTTGGTGAATACTAGTGAAATTCATGTGATCAGTAACTCCGTTGGCATTCAATCGAAAAGTAATAATAATAATTCACAATCTAGTGGTAAGATATATATTTCTAAACTATACTTATCAATATGAACTATCCATGCTTATCTGAAGATGAATAATGATTACGTTTTGCCTACAAAAAGATGATCTGTTTAGGTTATTTCTAGTTGACAATTTCATTATACAGTTTGCATAATATAAACTCAAAGTTTGTTGTTGTTCTGGTTAACATCATTCATCATCATCCAAGACAACATAGGACCAGGCATTACTACGTAACGGTCCGAATTGCCACACTTCATATCAGTACATCAAGTAAAAAGGCAGTGAAGTGGAAGATGAAGAACGAGAAAATGATGAGATTCGATATGGCGTTAAGATGAGGATAACCTGTGTATACATCCGCGCCACTCACATCGGTTCTCAGCCATATCACATAGAGTTTCTAATCACTGGTTCCTCTGTCTCGTCGACCCTAACCACCTAGTCTGCGTCGCCCCACATGGCTCAAACCAACAGTCAAACACTTCATACATTGATCCCATGTTTTAGTCTGACCACCCTCCAGCCTTTTTCCAACCAGATACTTCTTCAACCAACATTGTGTGATGAGGCAATCGGTCACCAGACATATGTAACACGTGTTCCAACCATCTCAGTCGATGAAGGTTCACGGGTCTGGTTAACAATTAAATGCATTTAACAAAATAGGGCGTAAATTGTTTAGTCCACTAGAAATTACTGCTTGTAACGACTTTTCTTTCTTTATGAAATCACTTCACCTTTATCTTGTAAGGGTTTAAAAATAAAGTTTATTGCATGCCTCTAGATCATTTTTAATGACTGTGTATGAATCTATAACTTGTGGTATACATATGTAGGTAAAATGTTAATATACTTTGTTAATAGATTTCTCATCTATCATATACAAAGTGTTACTTCAAGATTGATCTATATTGACTGACAAACAGAAAAAATCAGTGTAGAACCTTGTACACAAATATATCATTCCAAGTTACTACGCTTCACATAGTAGTATACAAAAAAGCCGATAGAAAAAGAGTGATATCGAAGTAGATAAAGTCGCACAAAAGAATCAACAATCTGCAAGTATTTAAGCTTTAGAATACGTCAAGGAGTGATTATGTCTGCACCATTCAAACCGATTTCCAACCATATCACCAAAAGTCAACAACCACTGATTTTTATAGTCTCGGGCATCCCAGGCAGGTAGTCTAAATCTCCCCATACAGCTCAGACCAACAGTAAGGGAGTTCACTGACTACTTCAACTTCTTGGTCCGATCATCCTGAACCCTCTCCCAACCTAATGCAACTTCACCTAGCATGGCATATCGAGCTAGGTGGTGGATGGGTATGCCCAACACATTTCCAAGTCACCTCTGTCGACTAAGGTTTATGACCTCATTGACTGATTTGTCTTCTTTTCCTAGAACCTTTCACCTGACTTCAACATTGCTCACATAGTGATTCCACCAAACGTGAACAGTCCGTTGAAGACACTGTAACTGCTTCATGTCTTCTACTTTTAATGATCATGTCATACAGTTACATAGCAGGACAGAATTGATTGCACCATAGTATACTCGTTTTGTGATAAATAGTCGGATATCTCACTAGTTGGCACTGCAAATGATGCAAGTTAGCAAATGGCAAGCTGACCTGTATCCGAGCTGAGATTCCGTCAGCAACTAAACCGTTTCGCATGAGACAACTCCCCAGGTAAGTGAAGTGGTCGACACATACCACCACCTCACTGTCTTTTGTTGAAGTAGCAGTGATTAGAGAGCATATAGGAGACGCATGCCAAACATACTTAGATTTCTGCTCAAGGAGTTCAGAAGACTCTATATTTTGTCATCTTCTTGATCTATGTTGATACCTTATCTGACGATGTGAAGTGATATAATTGGGTGTATTGACGACTTTACTTGTAGATTGTTGGTGCACAAAATGTCACAAGGATAGATAAGTCTCGATTAGCTTTCAACAATATACTCCATTTCCACACTAGTGATATATCAGTATTCCTAACATGGATTGTATGTACTAACCAACAGTCATTTCTCTTCTACTCGATTACTTTGAAATATGTCCATTAGAAGTGCATGACATAAGACAGTTCTCGAAACTCAACCACCTTTGTCTTAGAAACATTGGCTGCATATGTTTGACTTACCGCGTGAAAAAACAGAGGCAAGGCATTCCACGTCTTAGGTGTCATTTGATAAAATTTTGGACTAAGTGAATTCAGATGGCTGGAGTATATGTTGCTCTTATCGGTCCACTGTTTACCTTGATACACCATATCAACTTCAGTAGGATTAAGCTGGAGAAAAGTTAACGACTTCCAGACTAAACACATGACGTCAGTTCATGAAGTCTCTGACTCAGATTTTGAGCTGTGTTGGGAAATGTAAACTTTTATGTTGAGGTCCATGTGACAAAACTATTATAGACAATTAAAAATTCCCATTCGATATTGTAAAAGTCAATTATGAACGAAGAATATTCTTTCCAGTAACTTCTCATCAGGTTCTACTGTTATAAAATTCATTTAGGAATGGGTATGGAGTGATAATTAGAATGTGACCTATAGTAACTTAGTTGGTTGTAGCTAGCAGAAAAATCCAGGATGCACGTTTCGACGTATTTGGGATTCGTCAGCTAGACGTACCTGCACCCGAGTGGGGAGTGATGTTGTTCCGACCGAGACTCGAACTTCGTACCCATCACTTCAAACGCCAAGGCGTTATCTACTATGCCTTGGAGGAACGATAGCCACTTTTTGTACAACGAGGTTGATGTCTCTTTGGGAAGAAGATGACTTGAGTCCGAAGTGGAGTGGAGTGGAATGGAGTGGGTGGAGTGGAGTAGTGGAGTGTAGGTAGATGCAGGCAGCTGAGGAGTGATTCCTAAAGAGGATGGGCCGTGCATCGTGGATTCGTGTGGTAGCCAACACCAATTAAATGACCGTAATTGATAATCAGGTAATATCGAGGTGTATCTTATAGTAGGCGACATGTCAATGGAGGTGGAACAATTGGATCGATGAAACGACAGAGAATTACAAGTTATCAATAAATTCGAAGGCGTCCTGACCAACAATGGACTGGATGGTTTGGAAAAACTTGGCACCTAGCAGTATAATTCATTGTATAAGGTGTATTTTTACTTATGTAATCCCGGTGTAGTTTATTAGAACAAATAACAAAATCAATAAATATTTTGTATCATTACTCAACGTTCCGATCTTGCTAGGAAGATCCTTTTCATCAAGAGTATGAATCTGACATAAGGTTAATATTCAAGTTTTGGTACAGCAAGTGGTTGTGGTTGACGAGGTGATGATCGTCATCGATTGAGATGGTTGGGACACGTACTACGTATGCCTAGTCACCGATTGCCTCTTCACACAATGTTGGCCGAAGTAGGCCCAGGCTGGAAAAAGGCCCGAGGTGACCAATGTATGAAGTTTCTGACTGTTGGTCTGAGCCATGTGGGACGATGCGGACTAGGTGGTTAGGGTCCACGAGACAGGAGGAACCAGTGGTTAGAAACTAGGTGATATGGCTGACAACCGATGTGAGCGGCGCGGATGTATACACAGGTTATCCTCATCTTAACGACGCTATACCGAATCTCATCATTTTGTCATTCTTCTTTTGTTTCTTGTCGTAGTTTATATTTCTTTTGACTGCATTCTCTTATCTTCATCCTTCACCTCTCTGCCTTTTTACTTTATGTACTGATGTGAGATGTGGCAATTTGGACCGTTACGTAGTAATACCTGGTCCTATGTTGATATTGATGATTGTGACAGCAAGTGGTGACCTTCACAATCATCCAATTACATAGTGATATGGAGCAAAGATCAACTTAATACAGGTGAGTGAATAAGCAATCGGTCAGAAAGGTTTTCTTTTCGTTGTACTAGTAGGGTGGAACAAATAGGGTGAGAAAATTTTTTTCAGTTAGTCTATTAAAAGTACAATGGGGTTGTGAGACATCAAGGGTGAGAAAGAATAGATTACAGTTTGGAAGGATGAATATTTGAAGATCAGACATTATATCCTTAAATAAATAATAATAAATGATAACCATAAATGTACTTTTGATAACACTTGAAGTATGCGTGATAACAAAATGGATTATTTCAAGTTGTTATTCATCGTAGACTGACATCAGTTGGAGGAACAAAGGAAACCTGGGAGCACTGGACAGCTGTTTCGTCCTAATATGGGACTCCTCAGCAGTGCGCACCCACGACCCCGCCAGCAGGGATCGAACCCGCGACCTTCAGGTTCCGCGGCCAGCGCGTTACCATTGAGCCACTGGGTCAGAAGTTCCAATGACAAGTCGTGACCGTGGAGTCAAAGCCTGATGGCCATGAGGACAAATACTCAGCGATGACATTGGGTGGCGGTTGCGCTATATATCGTGAGCTAACAGAAGTTGGAAATATGGAACATTGGATTCTGACCCAGTGGCTCAATGGTAACGCGCTGGCCACGGAACCTGAAGGTCGCGTGTTCGATCCCTGCTGGGGGGTCGTGGGCGCGCACTGCTGAGGAGTCCCATGCTAGGACGAAACAGCTGTCCAGTGCTCCCAGGTTTCCTTTGTCCTCCAACTGATGTCAGTCTACGATGAATAACAACTTGAAATAATTCCAAATCTCCACAACTCCCTTAAAAAAATGGATTATGTTATGTATGGTTCATCCAATGTATATGACTCAGAAAGTAGTGTAAAACTGATGAAAATAGTAGATCAATAAGTGCTATGTAGTAGGACTAGACAAGCTGTTAAAATCCAATCAATATTTTTTCCTTTTCCTCTTGGTTAAGACGATTAGGAGAAATAATACCGGGAAGTATTCAAACAAAAGTGAATTTCGGAATAGATCATGTGGAATGAAATTGTGTTCTACCTTCTGTTCATATATTATTTACAACTGCCTAGACGAGTCATTAATGCCTAAACAGCGTAATGCGAAGACGAGATTATCTGAAACATGTGATGTATTAACAC